AAATAATAGGAAAAAAATACCACTCCTCCTATTATTAATATAAAACGTGTTTTGTAATAAAAATTATAGTATAAAGTAGGTTTTATATTAAAGAATGAATGAAATATTAAAAAAGTTTCAGTCAAAATATTACTATATTCGATTCTTAATATAAGAGTTAAATTATTGTTGTTAAACTCGCAAGTGGACTTTTGGAGTTTGATGAATTGAATTTTACTTATTTGGATTCAAAATATATTTAAAGAGAATTGTTGTTATTTTTTATATGTTAATTATTTAATTATATATTTTAAATATTAATTTATTAATAAAGGTAAACTCTTACTATTCAAGTTTCTATCTTTTATCATGAGTTTCTTTAGACTTACGAGTTTGACAATTTTGGTTTAAATAACTTATTTGTAAATATTAAAAAAAATTAGTTAAGTTGTTTATTGTTTTAAAGTTGTGACAATTTTTTCACTTATGATAAATACTCATAAAAATGTTTATATAAATCAAGACAAAATTTCTTTACATACTTATTTTATAAATTAAGATTGAACAACTGTTTTTAAAGTATCCCATCCCCTTCCAAAATTCAAACAAGACATGAATTGATTGTACGAGGGAATATGTTATGTCGTGATTTTTGTGTCTAGATTAAAGCATTAATAAGCTTAAGGTATTTATTATGTTATTCTCATATTATCTTTAATTTAAAATTAGTTATTTTTTCTAAATTACACCAAATGAGTAATAATGATAAAATTGGATGCTTCTTCGATTCCCCCCCCAAAAAAAAGAATTTTAAGCTTTTCTTAATTTCAATGTTAATGATGAAAATGACTATAAAAAATCGAAAGAGTAATTATTGGGAAGAATGTTACAAAAAGAAGATTGAAATTACTAAATCTAAAATCAGATCTGATTCATATACTTTATAATAGATTTTAACAATATTTGACTTGTAGAAAACAATACATTTTATTGGTTCATATAAATAAAACAAGATAGAAGTGGCAGTTGTCTCGTATAAAAAGAAAGGAAAGGGTGTTCTTTAGCAAGCTTTCACTTTCATATGCAATTGACCCTAGAAATGAGTTTGGGTGATCTGGACTGCCAGATCCATTTCTTTTAACTTTTATTTTTTTAAAAATATTTTAATTTATACAGAATTAAAAATAAAGATATTTTTTTAACTCTCAGTTTTATAAAAAAACAGCTTTTTATTTAAAAATTATGAGTTAAACATTCTAAATACTGGCTAATGAAATTATATTTAAACCGTACAAACCTCGCGTGGTCATGGAGCACCAAATTGGGTCCATTACTCCGTTGTTTGTACCTACCATGAGTAGAAGTAGCGTCACTAACATTAACAACGTGACCCCACCATGAGTTAGCAGTGAGGGGAAGAACAGTGCCATTAAATTTTGATTCAAAATTTCCACCGAATTAAAGTTGCTTTGTTCAGTGTATTAGGAGGTGTTTGGCAACTGTTAAAAATGCTTTTAAAAAGCATTTTTCTGTAAAACGAAGCAAATTCCTTCATATATTTATTTTGTAAATTATAAAAATATTTTTAAAATTATGTTTTGGTTTTTATCCAACGATATTCTGTCACTTTTAATAATTGTGTACATTGGATACTCCGCTTTTTCACAGAACTGAATTTAACTGGCATACTAAACGGGCGATTCCACAAAGACTATTTCCGTCATCACCATTGTGCGTAAACTGTTTTTTCTGCACTTTGAAACAAACAGCAATGGCTTCTACTTCTTCAGGCTCGGGCTCTTGCATTATTGGTCGGTGTGTCGGTTCTCAAACTTTATGTAAATTTATGTAAAGGAGTTTTCAAACTTGCAATGCATAGTATTTATGTAAATTTAATACATGTGAATTATGAGTTGTTTTTTTCCCCAACGAGACTGTGTCTTATTTTTAGGATTGCTGACAATTAAAAACACACTTTAATTTTACATTTAAAGTAAGCCCAAAATAGTTTCAAGGAGTTTTCAACTTCCCACAGGTTTATACATTATTGTATAGTGTATACCATTAGTCCAATTACTTGGTCTAATAGTACGTGACGGTTCATTTATTCTTCCCTCTCTTCACAACTTTTCCAATTAGGATATGCACCACTTTAATATGGAAGCCAACCATGCAATTCTGCCAAAGACTTGAGTTCTAAATAACAGACATTGTTTTGGCTCAAAAAGTAATAGAAATCAATTATAACATTACTTTCTCTGTCCCATTTTATAAGCAACAATTACTATCTGCCTTTTGTTTCTAAATATATGCAATTTTTACGAGTTGTTTTAAATTTTTGTAGTGAATCTTTCATTTTGTCCTCATTAATTACTCATTTTAATACTCAATATATTTATAATCTCATTTCCTAAACCATTATCTTTTCATCACACATTCTCTCTCTTTCCTAATTCTCTTTATTATAATAATTTTCTTATTCTCTCTTTTATACTCTCTCTTCCCATAAATAAGGGCATTTTAGTGAAAGAATTTTTAATTTCTACATATTTATTGTTTTTAATTAATTTTAACCAATATTTTGATTTTCGTGATGAGTTTTAATGTTATTTATAAAAAGGGACGGGGGTATTTAACACGCTTTCAAACACAATTGATCATACTATCATCTCTAACAGCTAAAATTCTGACCCTACTATTAATTGGTGAAAGTTGCAGTGAAATAGGAAAGCAGTTGGTATGAGCGCGTCAGCATCAACTTTTCAGCGTAGGCCACACATTTTGTTGGACCTTAGTTACGGAGAAGCTTTCTTCTCTCTCTCTGTTTTTTTTTTAAAAAAACCGGAAGAAGCTTTCATGAAAATGTAATGCTCCCAAAGACTTGACTTCATAATTAATGTGCCCCAAAAAATAACATATACTCCCTCCAATTTTCAATATAGGAGTTAGGTAATTTTATTAATTATTTCCAAAAAATATTTGTGGGTTTACCTAAATACTCCTTTAATAATTTATATTAAAAACCACCACATTAATAGAAATCTCCTCCTTTAATTATAAATTTCAAAGATAATGTAAACTGAATTTTTATATTTAAAATTAAAATATTCTTCCAATTCAAATTAGATTTAGACCGATCTAGTAAATCATTAGTTTCTATCAATCCGTTTAGCACGCAAACCCATTTCAAGTTAAATTAAACCAACAAAAAAGAACATAAAGTCAAGATAAGTAATGAGCAAAAACAAACAAATAGAAGTCACTCTATGTAAAATCTGAAAACAGATTGAGAAAAGGTCAAAAATAAAAGAGTGTGTTTCAAAAATTCACAAAAGTCATAATATTATATTATACTTAAAATGGTGAACGTGCCAAGATACCTATAAATTTTTACTCAAAGTATACTCATCATTATAATCTTTTCATAAGTGCAAAAATACATAAAAACTTGCAAGACCAGAGAAAAAATGATTTCACCCACGCTAATGCTATGAAAGTATCAAAATGCTGCTAATTCAAAAAAAAAGAAAAGGCAAAGATACAAAAATACTTATAAACTTTTAATCAAAGTGTGCCAAATCTCATATGTTTTTTCACGTTTGTAAAAGTGCCAATGACCATACAAATAAATTAATTCTTCCAGTTTTAACAGATAAACGCTATTAAATTTTATTATACTATGATAATGCCAATAATTTTATGATTAATATATATGTTCAGTCTTTTAAATTTACATTAAGTTTTAATTTAGTCTCTTAAATACGCAAAGTATATTTTTAGTTACTAAATGTTAACATCATAGGTCACATTAACAGAAAATGCTTACTCAATGAATTTAAAGGATTTTTGGCCCCAAAAAAATGAATTTAAAGGATGACTCTACAAAAATACCCGCAAACGTATAAATAAATTAATTATTCTATTTTTTAAAAAAATTAAATTTTATTATACTATTATGCTTTTGCACCTCCACAAAGGTTATGGTGATGGATGCACTTTAAATAAAAGTTTATGGGTATTTTTACGCTTTCAACCTTCAAATTAATTATAGTAACTGTGGTAATTATTCTTGTAGATGATCAGTTGGTGTTGGTGGGGCTTTTGCATTATTGCTCTGTGTATTGGTTCTCACATCTTGTGCATTTTAATTTGGCAACTGGGCCTCTTACATATTCCAATTTATTTTGTTACAGTGCAAGCAGCATCGAAATGTACTGGAACCCATCATTTTAATTGACCCTATCATCACTAACAAATATTAGAACTCATCATTTAACACAATTTCAAACAGATCATTGACCCTATCATTACTAATAATTTTTCTATTCAGTTTTTGACATAAGAACTAGTTGGGAGTTAAATTTAATATTATATATAAGATCTTAATATGGTTGTCATATTTATCATTTTTTTTCAAACTAATTTATTTATATTATAAATTGATATATATATAATCTAATACTCTATAAAATATATTTTAAGAAGATCATGTCATGTTTATTATAATTAAATAATTTATTTATTTTTAATATATTTAAATTAGTAAATACTTTTTATATTGAAAAATAGAAGTCAGTAACAACAATAATGTCCCTAACACTAATATGTGAAAGTTGAGAGCAATTGAATTTTGATTGGCTTGAAGCACCAACATCATCTTTTAACGTACAAACCATTCACATGCGAAAAAGTTACACAACTTACACTCATTCACACACAATGGACCCTACCATTAAGGGTAGGACCTTTCCCTCTAATTCATCGTATGAGGGACGGACAACGTAATTCACAAGCAATGGACCCTGCTTTTTGTCGCCAAAAGAAAGGTGGTGGGGTTAGGATGGAAATGAAATTTGTTATTAATTCCAATATGAAAAGGGTAAAAGTATGTCATTTGGCTTTGGAGACTTGAAAAAGTGAATAAAGTCTGGCCGCTGCCATACATACTCCATCACCAGTTCACTTTTGCCATTTCTCAGCAAAGAAGACAGAGAGAGATCCGAGAGTGTAATCAGAATACCATGTTTCCCATAGCTTCCCCATCATCTTCTTCTTCTTCCAAGAAATATGATGTGTTTCTGAGTTTCAGAGGAGAGGACACTCGCAGATCCTTTACCAGCCATCTCCATACTGCCTTGTGCCTCAGAGATATTGAGACATACATTGATTATAAGCTCCCAAAAGGCGATGACATCTCCCAATCACTCATTGAAGCAATTCATGATTCATTCATCTCTGTGGTGGTCTTCTCTCAAAACTATGCCACTTCAAAATGGTGTTTGAATGAGCTCCTTGAGATCCTTTGCTGCAAACAACATCAGGAACAAATTGTTGTTCCTATCTTCTACGAAATCGACCCATCTGATGTACGCAAACAAAAGGGAGCTTATGAGAAAGCATTCGCAGAACATTTGGAGAAAAACTCAGAGAAGGTGGAGAAGTGGAGACAAGCACTTTTTGAGATTGCAAATCTAGCAGGATGGGACTCCTGCAACTACAGGTCACTCTCCATTCTCTAACTCCAAGTATCTGAATCAGAGTTTCATACTTCTACTTATTACTGTGATTGGTCTTCATATTCACATAAATTGCTTTTTTCTTTCCATTTTAGCTTATCCGACAACTAATTAACTGGCAGTGAATAATGATGTTGGATCATGTTCTGCAATACTCATGTATACATGACATATAAACTTAATTTCTTTTCATTGTTGGGTTTACATGAAAAAAACGTTATTTAAATGGTGTCATCTCAAAATTGGATACCTTAGCTCTGAAAGTTGATTTTTTCCCCCTTTTTTCGCCTATCAGATGAAAGTTGATTTTTTAAATCTTCAACGTAACCTTTTTTTTGAATTAATTGTCACTCTACGAATAACTCATATAGTAGAGTAAATTATGTATACATTTCTTATGTTTGAATTAATCCTTCTTAATAATTTTGAAAATGGAGGAAAAATATCCACACAAATTTGATAAACTATGAAGAAAATTTTCTTTTTTTTTAAAAATAATAATCTTGTGATGCAAAAAATCATCATCAATTATTTGTCACTTTATTTAATATATTATTTATTAAATAATTTTCATGTGATACATTAATATTTTCTTCCACAATTCTTTTTCTTATGTCAGGGATGAAGCAAAACTCATTCAAAATATTGTCAATGACATCATCAACAAACTGAACCATAGGTACTCAGGAAGTGTATTAGAAAATATCGTTGGAATTGATGAGAATTTGGATCATATTGAGCAATTGCTCGAAGAATCCTCGACAATTGGGATTTGGGGGATGGGCGGGATAGGCAAGACAACAATGGCTAAGGTTGTGTTTGCCAAGCTCCGCTCTCAATTTGATAGTTGCTGCTTCTTAGAAAATTTTAGGGAAGAGTCAAAAAGGCATGGGTTAAAATATGTACGTGATGAACTTTTCCGACAATTATCAAAGGATACATCTATTAGGAGGCTCAATCGTAGAAGAGTTTTGATTGTACTTGATGATGTTAGCAACACAAAGCAGTTAGATGAGTTGAAAAGTGAAGCTCCTCCTTTGGGTCCTGGCAGTAAAGTCATCATAACAAGTCGAGATAAGCATGTGCTTATTGTTGGAAGAGTTGATAAAATACATGAGGCCAAGGCATTGAGCAACAACAATTCACTTGAGCTTTTCAAGCTCAAAGCCTTCCACAAAGATGGTTATGAAAGTGAATATGAACAACCAGTTAAAAGAGCACTTGCTTATGCCAAAGGCATCCCATTGGCCTTAACCGTTTTGGGTTCGTTTCTACATTCCAGACCTGCAGATCAATGGGAAGATGCGTTGAGTAAATTAGAAAGTATGGCCCATGAAGATATTCAAAATGTGTTAAAATTGAGCTATGATGGACTCGATGACGAAGTGAGGGAGATATTTTTAGACATTGCTTGTTTTTTTAAAGGTAGATCTGGACAATATGTAGAAGCAATGCTAAAGAGCTTTGGCTTTCACGCAAGCATTGGTTTGGGAATTCTTGTGGATAGGGCGTTGATAAGTCTTAGTCATAATGCGGTATGGATGCATGATTTAATTCAATCAATGGCTTTCGAAATTGTTCGCAAAGAGTGTAACAATCCTGGAGGGCGTAGTCGACTATGGAATTCCGATGAGATCTTCGACGTTCTAAAACATAATCTAGTAAGAAAAATATTTACCTTTCTAATTAAACATTTGAAAACGAATGAAAAGAAATTGTTAATATAAAGCTATTTATTTATTTTCTTTTGGGCTTTTGTGTTGTTCAGGGAAGTGATGCAATTCAAGGCATAAGTTTAGATTTGTCTCAAATAAAGGAATTACAGTTCAGTGCTGATGCCTTTGGAAAGATGACAAATTTAAGGTTTTTGGAAGTCTATTCATCTAAGAGGTCGTGTATTGTGAATCTTCCTCCAATGCTTGAATCATTTCCTAATTTATTACGGTATCTTCGATGGGACAATTTTCCTTTAAAGTCCTTACCGTTGTCATTCTGTGCCGAGAAGCTAGTTGAACTTCGCATGCCTCGTAGCCGCCTTCAAAAACTATGGGATGGCAAGCAGGTATGACATACAAATATGAGTCTTATAATTTTTCTCTTTTTTACAATTTGGTTCAAATTTAAGACTCTTGTTTCCTATGTAATATTTCTCTTTTTAATTGTTGCAGGACTTGGTGAATTTAAGGAATATAGACCTTTGGGGATCTAGAAAATTGATGGAGTTGCCAGATTTGTCCACCGCTGAAACACTTGAACAGCTAAATCTTGAATGGTGTGATAGTTTATGCCATCTTCATCCATATATTTTATCTCTTCCGAGATTGAAGGATGTGAATCTTGGGAGTTGCAAAAACTTAAAGAGTTTGAAAGCAGAGAGTCAATCAAAATCGCTCTCAATACTACGTCTTTATCATTGCTCTAGTCTCAAGGAATTTTCATTCTCTTCGGACAAACTAATTTCTTTAGGGTTAGTTCTCTTAAAAGTCGAGAATATAGACTTTTTAGGTGGGCATATGGAGGAACTTCAGTGTCTCTCTCTTGATGGTTCCGAACTAAAGAATCTTCCGATTAATGACATTTGTTGCATGAGATCTCTTTTGGGGCTTCATCTTAATTATTGCACGGGAGTGATTGACAAATCAAAGCTCCATAGCTTATTTGATGCTTTGCGATATCTCGTATCACTTTCTTTGAGAGGGTCATGCACATTAACGGAACTTCCAGACAATATCAAGCATCTCTCGAGGCTACAGTCTCTTGATGTAAGCTATTGCAGGGACCTTCAATCTTTACCAGAACTTCCTCCATCCATTGACGAATTACATGCCTACGGCTGCACATCATTAAAGACGCTACAATTCACTTCTCATATTGAATCTCCATCATTGGCAGATGAAATAATGTTGGGTTCAACCCTCCATTCCTCAGTTAGCTCCTCAGTTAGTTATCTCCAAAACCTTCGAAAGCTTAGTCTTGGTGGTTGTGAACAGGTGTATGAATTGCTTGAAAACATCGGCTCCTTATCTTCATTATCTTCACTGGATTTGAGTGGAAGTATTGTAGCGAGCTTGCCTGCTAGTATCAAGTATCTCTCAAATCTAAAAGAAATACGCTTGACCAATTGTACAAGACTTCGTTCTCTGCCAGAACTGCCGCCATCCACAGAAACCGTCTTCGCTAGTGGTTGCATATCATTGAAGATTGTACCTATTTCAATGCCTTTTGCACTACAATTGAAGTTGCTACTTCTGAGAGATTGCTTGAAATTGGAGAACTGCTTTCTGTCTCATGTGACGGAAACTACTTATTTCTTATTGAAGCGATTGGTGTACACAAACCAACGCGCTGCTGTCTGTTACCCTGGAATAAAAGTTCCAAAGTGGTTTGGATCTAATGAGAGAACAGAGGCTTCCAACTGTATAACTATTGAGTCTCCTTCAGCCACAAACGACCTAATCGGCTTCATCTTTTGCTGTATTCTTTCTCGGCATTCCTATAAGGATGACGTGCAATGCCAAATTCATTATGATGGTAAGCGGTGCGGATTCTCAAGTTTTGGTCTTTATGCGAATCTACATTCAGAATTTTATGATGATGAAAATTCGGAATCACGTCATGTTTTTTTGTGGTGTGATCCTAACGAATTCATAAACTTCCCCAAAGCAACGAACAACCAAAACACCAATTACAGGCCAAAGGTGTCATTTGAATTCTCTGTTGCCAAATCTACACAGAAGCTCGTTCATTCTGTGATTGAAGCATGTGGAGTCTGCCCAATATATGCCTCGAAATATCACGACTTCATTCAACAAATGGGATGCCAGCCAAACTTAGGTACCCAAAAAGAGTCCTATCATTATGCTGATGAGAATTCATTTCATAAAATGCTCCAATATGTTAGATTCTCATTAAAGCAAGGAGAATGTGGCAATTTTGAAGGAAGTACTATTCCAGAGTGGTTTACTTACAAAAGTTCAATGACAGGGTACAGAGATTTGAGTGTGTGTGTTCAGGTTGCTCCAGATTTTGAAAACTTAATAGGTTTCATTTTCTGCTTTGTCATACCTCACTTCTCCTCAAAAGAAAGGGATCAATGTCACTCATCATGTCGATGCTATTCGTTTACCTCAAGAGGATGGCACTATTCAATGGAAAAATTGAATTCATATGATGATGTGTTTCTATGGTATGATCCCCTCTATTGTGAACACATACTAAAACTGGGAAAAGGTTATAACAAGTGGCTTCGATTTGTCTTTAATCTTTATGATGTTTTGATCAATGGGTTTTATGTTGGTAATTGCTTGATCAAAGAATGTGGAGTTCGGCCGATATATGTCTCAGAGTACACAAACTTCCTCCAACAAAAGAAAGGGGAGGTGAGTATGCCAAAAAAGAGGCATCAGAATATTGATGATGACCAACATCAACTCCCTTCAACAAAGAAATTGAAGGACTCTTAGGTATCGTTCAATCTATTCCCCATGTCCAAGACGTCTCATTATGCTACTCATGAGTTGCTACTTTTGCTGTCCCAATTGAATTTGGAATCTACAGAGAAACATACTCATCATAAATAAACTACCAACAATCCATTACTTGATTGGTATGTATCTCTCTTTTACATTTCGTTAATTAAGTTTGACATTGGTATACCATAGCTACCCCAGGCAAATATAGATGATGTTTTAAATAAACACGTGTTGCTTTGCAATATATTTAATTTTATTGATGTGTTTATATCCTGTTATTTCCGAAATTGGGATTTTACTTTCTTGGCTTCTTACAATGAGTATGTATCATGTCAAACAACTACGCTGACATGTTTCTTGATGCAGAAGTCCAGTAAAGCATAACATAATAGGAAACTTGGTATGCTTAGCCTAGTTTCGTTAGATACCGTAACTAAAAATAAAAAAAGCGTTGAAGTGAAATAACCAACCAAATCTTAAGATGATTATATTTAAGAACGAAACTATTTTCCAGAATCCTTCTATTTTCCTAGATTTCTGTCTATTTACAAAATAATTCAACTTCTGCGACAGTCAACAGAGGCTAAGGAAAGATTCTTCATGATTTAGCCCCTCGTATTTGTAGGTGTAAATTGTGGTGAAGCAGTGAAGCTTTCATTTCCTCTGGATTTCAAAACCAAGTACCGATCAAATGATGGGCAATGTGCTGATTACTATCACATCAAATGCAGATTGCTGCAAGCCGAGATTGGAGGGTAACCAAGAAAATTAAATTCCTGAAATTGAGTTTTAGTTGCATATCTTCTTTCTGATGCAAACCTTATATTCAATCATTAATATCACTAATGTTATACCCAAAAAAGTTTATTAACTGATAGTGTCATATTCTTTCATCTTTGCAGTTTGACATGTTATATGTATTTAGTCATCATTCTCGGCCAAGAAAAGCTGACAGTAAAAACCGACGGATGCTGCTGCTTAATGTGAAAACGTATTCATACTGTTGTTGGACATAAAAGAAAAGTGATGTCAGACATTAAGAAGGTTAAGTCTAGTGAGTTGGAATTTCTCCTGTTTTCGGTCAAAATAATTGCTTTCTTCACTTTGTTATGCTTGCTTTCTCTTTCTCTCTGCTTTTAGGAAGTAATGCACTGAAACCAGGATGTGTGTGTGTGAGTTTGTAATTTGAAAATGATCTTCAATTTGTTATTACGTTAAATTGCAGATCTTGATACAAGAGACACTGATTGTGATGTCCAGTTATTAAAACAATACGGAAAATAGGCAGAGACCAGAAGTAACAAGTTACTGTTTCTCACATTTCGTTAAAAGTCGGTCATATTTATTAAATGGTCAATAACATGCTGGAGAATGTAGCCTGACCTGAGAAATTCTATTCAGAGGTATTTTATGACAAGCATGTGGTGTGTGTAATTGTTGTAAATTTTAAATTCCCGTTTGTTATAAGGATTACAGGTTATACTGCTTTGTTATGCGTGAGAAAATAATTAATTAATATGATTAGTCTTAATTTTTGAGTTGGTTTGGTCTTTTTTTTATTTATTTATAAAATGCAGTCTGGAATTGTATGAACATTTTTTTGGCCTTGAGATTGCATGAACATTAAATGTATTTTTTGACAAATTTATTCCTAATTAATTCTATTATCTCTTGTTATCTTTTCTTTTCATACATTCTCTCTCTTTTTTGTTCACTTTTATCTTTTTCAGCCTTGACCCTTTTATAAATAAAGACATATTTTTTAAAAAAAAAGTGTTTATTTCTTACGTATTTATTGGTTTTAACTAATTTTAACATATTTCTTAAACTAACTAAAAATTTCTCCCCCACATACTAATATATTTGAAATTTTAATAAATTGTATTATTTAAAGTAGCTCAAGATTTACTTCTCACAGTATCAATTTTTTTATTTATTCAAATGGAATTTGAATTAGATATGAGAAGTTTAAGGGGAATAGATGAAAATGTAAAATTATTTTTTTATTTTTTTATTTAAGACTCCAATTGACTTACTATTTAATTATGATACTCCTCATTTAATTTAACATATTTAAATCCCAATTAAGATATTATTTAAAACCAAAATTAATTATTAGTTTCTTCATTTGAGTCTCCAATTTAAATTTCATTTAATAATGATACTCCCTATTCAATTATGTTAACGTATGAATTTAGTCCTTTAACTTTATAAGGAGTTTCAATGTGATCTCTTAACTTTAAAAAAAATATACTTTTATTCTTTTAATTCTAAAATTATTAAAAAAAATGATGATATTGATATCTTAATTCCTGATAAAATATTCTCAAATGCTAATAGATTAGTTTTAATTTTTGAAATAACAATGATTGTGATGAAAAATTATCATTTAAACCTAACAACTCTAGGGTTAAAGGACCAAGTGTATGCTTTTTAAAGTAAGAAATTAAATCAAAACCTTATATAAATTAAAAGACCAAATGTATTCTTTAATCTTTAATTTAATATATTCAAATTCCAATTAAATTATTCATATTCAAAATTAATTTGAATTTAAATCTTTTCAAATGAATCAGGTATTACAAGTTTTCAAGAATATAGTTGATAGTTGATAGTTGATAGTTGATAGTTAATTATTGATAATTAATAGTTGATAGTTTGATGATAGTTGATTTTCAAGATTGGAGTGACTGTTATACAATGTCGATCAAATATTGAATTATTATGATTTGATCATTTACAACACTATTCACACTAAATAATTTATAGAAAATAATTGCCAAAGCGACAACCAAAAGAAAAGATTCTTCAATCATACCTTTCCAGGCTAAGGACGATTCTTAATGGATTTTGATTTACTGGAGTTAAGACAAGAGGCAGTTGTTCACGCTAGCTACAAATCAGTTTTATAAAACTACTAACCAAAATAACAAGGGCGGGATTGCAATCAAATTTCAAAAAGTGATTTAATTATCCTAAATTTTGTTGATAAACTAGTTTTTGTTGTTCACTTGTCATTAGGACTTTAAAATAATTAAATCTCTTGCTGAAAACCTAATTGCGTGCAATTCTCCCAATAACAATAGTAACTAGATGGAACCTAATCGCCGCATATTGCAGTTTGAGTCTCCAATAAGTTTACATTTTGTATTTGGGACGTGGCGGGCAAGTGGATGAACGATTCTTGATATTTCCATTCAAGGCCAATCAACATTCTTTTATGGCAAGAATATGGACCTCCACTTAACAAACTTGCATTCCTTGTCCTCACCTTCTCCAGAGAAAAGAATCTAAAACAAACATCATTCTTTCATTCCCTAACTACCAACCAAGCGGCAAAATAAATGAACTCAGTCGATCCTCAACGATTCCATTTGTTAAACCGGCAACACGAAATCATATTGGACCACAATAAAATGTCGCCAGTTTTATTCTCCTCAAGACAAAGATCATGTAACGACAACGTGCATATCCTTTAGATATTAACTGCTTTCTTAGCTCTTAGTATTTGCCATCACATATCAATCTGGAAATATTTCAGCTTCACATACTCCATAATCAAATTAGAAATCCTTGGTACAAATTTCAGGCATATGCATCATAATACAATATTATATTCGATCAAAGACTACGAAGTGAAATTGACACGTAGAATCCTTTAAACTACATGCAATCACGAACCGGGTTTCTTTCATCATAAAATTGATTATGCTCTCAAATAAGCACATAATTTTAAACATATTTTAGAGAAAAGTAATAAATCACTTCTCGAGAATCTTCGATCAGTGGAGTCGCCGGAATGGTATGATCCTCCAGTCTCAAGCTCAACAAATTGGACAAAAAAACTATCGCTAACAAAGAAAAACTAAGACAATCCAAATATGGATAAACCCACTCCTGTTCTTGTAAACATCATTTCAGAAGGGTTCTTGTCAAATGTTCTCTAGCTGTAGCCCATGCTTGAGTTAATGTCTGCAATATCAGAATCTCACCATTAGATTGAAGATCAAAGATATTCGGTCATCAACATCCAAGATTTTTCAGCACATCACAAGTCAAGAATGACTAGTGCACAATGAAACATAGCTCGCCAAAATGTGAATTCAATTAAAAAAAAAAAAAAAAAAAAAGGCAGTTTGAGAATTGCGTAACACCAAAGTGTAATAATTTAGCAACCTCCAGTCTATATGGCGACTCATGTGACTTTGCGGAGTAAAATGAAATAGGAAGCAAGGACAAAAACTAAACTGCAATCACGTTATCTGCTCAGATAAGGGAGCGTCAGCATCAATGCTATGAGAGGTAACCTTTTCGGCAATAATAGATCCATTTGTTTCAAGTATCATCCTTAAAGGAAGACGGTAACAGGGTAATCAGAAAATAATTAGAATTTTAATGAGAACGAAAAATTCTAACTAAGAAACACAAGCATACCCTCCATCAACAATCTCATCAAGACATAAAAGAATTAGATCCAAGTTCTCAAGCGGCTCCCTTTTGTCAACGTTGCTCCTGAAATTTGAAATTTAAAAAAGAGCTCATTTTAAATCTTGAATAACATGAGCAACAAGGCACTCTTATTTCAATTGTTGAAAGCAAAATATAACCTATAATACCTCAACAAATAGGTGACTGCATCAAAGAAACCCTGAAGAACCGAAGCCAAAATGAGCTCATTTTCATCATCACCACCGGTGACGAAGAAATGCAAGTCTTGTACAAACTCGTATATAACGACATTGTTCTCAATTAATGTGACCTCAGCTGCAGATAATAGCAAACAGCATACTAGTAATAACTGAATAATGAATCACAATAAACATAATTACAGATCAAGTCATGAATTGGCAATGACTGCGCAATTCATTGATAAGTCAGGGCCCAACGCTACAGCTTAATTTCAAATGAGTATAAATACTTGATTCATAATAGCATTTATGTAAATTTGAGAGTTTAAGAAAAAACTGTGTCTTGTTTTCGTGATTGCTGATAATTAGAAGAACACTTTAATTTTTCTACTTAGAGGAAATCTGACATGGTTCTGAGGAGTTCTCAACTTCCTACAAGTTCCTATGTCCTTATATAGTTTATATTATCTAGTCTACTATAACACAGGTTTGGTTTGTATGAAGGAAAAAATGGTTAAAAATAACTAATAAGGGAAGAAAATACTATGAAAAAAACTTCTAAAAATAATTAGAAAATTACTTCTTCTTTTTTGGGATTTCCCTTCGTAATATTCTTTTCTTTTTATTTTCCTTCACATCCAAACTAAGCTAAAGTTTTAAGGGTCATTTATTCCTCCTTCTATGCACAACTTTTGTGGTGAGGATATGGATCAATTTAATATGAAGGCCAATGCAAGCAATGCTGCCAAAGACTTCTAAATAATATGTATTCATTTGGTCCAAAAAATAACAAATATTAGAGCCCATCAATTAACTTGCTTTCAAATAAAATTGAGCCTATCATCACTAACAATTAATCTGTTCAATTCTTGATATAAGAACTAATTGACTCATTGAGGGTGAAATTTGGTTTTAAATATAAAATCTTAATCTGTTTATCATATTTATCATTTTTCTCAAACTAATTATTTATACTATAAATTAATATATAATCTAATGCTCTATAAAAATATTTTAAAAAATTATGTCATATTTATTGTAATTAATTAATTTTTTTTAAATATGTTTAAATTAATTAAGTAGTTTTTATATTATATATATATATTAAAGAATATAAGTTACTAAAAACAATGACCCTGCCATCCAAGGGTGGAAGTTGACAGCAATTGAATTTTGATGAAACGTTCGACTTAGCTACGTTAAGTGGGGGGGAGTTGCCGAGAAGTAACAGTGCAGTTGGCATGAAGCAGCACGCATCTAGACGCAATGGACCCTACAATTGAAGGTACAACCTTAGGCTTTTCGACTAATATGCTATGTATAATATATAAAATAAGAAAAATTTGAGGGAAAAAAGTTGAAATTAGTATTTTTCAATTCAAGTATATAACACTTCAAAAAAAAACAGAGAATGAAATAAATCCAAATTAAAATTTTAAAATTTAAGAGAAATGACAAAACATCTCTTTGGTAATTTTATTGAAAAACTGTGTTGTTAATCCCAAATCAAGACTTATAATTTCATAATCAAGACTTATTATTTTCAAATAAATTGTTGTTATTATTAATTGATTCACATGTTATGTACTAAAAAAAAAGTATTGTTAATCCTAAATTGAGATTTATAATTTTACAATCAGAACTTGTTATTCTCAGATAGATTATTGTTATTCTTTATTGATTCACATGTTATTTCATATGTTATTTATCAGGAACAGATAGGGGTGTTCAAGGCCGGCCCATTCCGGTCAGGCCCTTCCGGTCCCGGTCTTATTGGGACGGGACGGACAAGCCGGGACGGGACAAAAAAAGGACCGGGACGGGACGGGACACGGGACGGGGTCGTCCTGTCCCGGTCCCGTCCCGGTTCCTTTTTTAAAAAAAAATTAATTTTTTTAATTTTTTTATATAATATCATTTTTTTCATATTTTTTTAAGATTTGAGACTATTGTATGGAACTATGGATATATTTATTTAAAGTTTTTATATTTGTTAATGATTTGAGATTGTTGATGATTAGGATTTTTAGCAAGTTTTTATTGTGTTAAAAGCTTTTGTTTAGAGTTTTTAATAACTATTATATGTAATATTTTGAGCTTTTGTTTAAGAGTGCCCAAACAAATAAAAAAGATGTTTTTTATAAGATTTAAGCTCAAAAAAATATAATTAAAAAATCAGATTTTTTTAAAAAATTAAAAAAAATTAAAAAAAAATATATTTCGGGACGTCCCGGTCCCGTCCCGGATCCGTCCCGTCCCATGTTGAAAAAGGCAAGTTGCTTTTAACGGGTGAGCATGTTGGTGTCTGTGGATGAAAACAGAGTAAACAAAACAGAGCGTGAGCTCTTACTCCTTCAAAGTGAGTTTTAGTAGATTAAAGTTTTGAATATAATTACATTGACTCTGATTTGTATATTGATGTTTGAAGATGAAAATTAAGTGAAGACTTGAAAACAGAGCATGAACGAAATGAGCTATAACTTTGCCAACCCAACTTTAATTTGTAGATTACCACTAGGTGTTAGTGGGGCTTTTGCATTATTATCCTGTGTAACAGTTCTTAAACCTTATGTATTTTAATTTGGCAATAAGGTCTCTTGCATATTACAGTACATGTAGCATCAAATTATACTTTGAGAAAAAAATTGAGTTTGCAAACATGCAATACATAGCATTTATGTATATTTAAGATATGCGAATTAAGAGTTTTTTCTCCTTCAAAAAAACTCTGTCTTCTGTTCAAGATTACTGATGATTAGAAAAACAAAATTTTCTATTTAGAGTAAACCCGAAATGGTTCGAAGGTGTTTCCAACTTCCTACAAGTTCTTATATCTTTGTATAATGTGTGTTTCTGCCTGGTCTAATGTAACAATGAGGGGTTAGTTTGGATGTGACTACAAAAAAATTTGCTATCTTTCTAAAGCTTTTTCTTTTAGTATTATTTCTCCCTCTATGCACAACTTTTCGGGTGAGGATATGGACCAGTTTCAAATGGAAGCCAATGCATGCAATTCCACCAAAAACTTGACTTCTAAATAATAGATATTAATTTGGTCCAAAAAATAACAAATATTAGAACCTATTATTTAACACATCTTCAAACACAATTGACCCAATTATCGCTCACAATTACTCTCCCTTTCCTATATAAGAATTAGTTAGGAGTTAGATTTGATTTTAGATGTAAAATCTTAAATTTGATCCTATTTATTATTTTCCTTGAACTAATTTATCTGACTTATAAACTAACATATAATCTAATATTATATAAAGATATTTTAGAAAAATCATATCATCTTTGTTATAATTAACTAATTTATTTGGTTTTCTCTCTACTTAAATTAATAAAATAACTTTTGTATTAAGTACAGGAATAACTAACAACTATAACCCTACCGTTAGTTGGTGAGAGTTGCATGGAAAGCTTAGCAATTGAACTTTGATTCAAAGTTACCGCTAGATTGATTGTGCCGGGGAACATCCCATATCCTGACTCTTTGGTTTTTTTTTTTTTTGCATCTAAATGAAAAGGCGAATAAGTTCAAAGCACTGCCTCTGATCCCTTTTATAAAATAAGAAATTTTAGTCTTTTCTTTATATTTTACTCCTCCGGTCCTTAATATAGAATCTAATTGTTGAGTTGATTTTGGTCCTAAATATAAGACCTATTTCTCATATTTATCAATTTTTCCTAAATTATCCCTATGGATACTTCCTCGACTATAATCAAGTAGAAGAGGGAGAAGGATATTAAGGAAGATGATTATGGTGTTTTAGAAAAAAATATGTCATATTTCTTTTAATTAACTAACTTATCTAACTTTCTTAATCTAATTAAATTAGTTAAAGAGGTTTTATATTAAGGACCGGAAGAGTATTTATTTAATGTTAATTCATTTTTTAAAGGTTACATCAAATGAGTTTAAATAATGATAAAATTGGACACTCCTTTAATTTTTGAAAAAGAAATATGAATCAAAATGAAAGGACTAATTATTATTTCCCCTGGCCACGTTAATAAGACAAGAAGTTGCAGAGAAGTAACAGAGCAATTGGCTTGAAGCATCAATATCAACTTCTAAAGGTAGGCCACACATTTTGTTGGACCTTGATTGCGTACAACCTTTTGCAACTTCCGCAAAGACTTAGACTTCATAAGCAATACTATTTGTGAGTCATAAATAATACTACTCAAAGTATGTTAAAATAGTGATGTTTTCAGTTGGATCCTCCTCAAATTATTATCTATAATATGTATCTACTTCATTCGCATGTCCAAATTTTCCAAGGCCAGAAATAAAAGAAAGGGGTCTGGCCAAAAAAGAAATTAAAGAAAGGGGGTAAGAATCGGAAATGTATTCCAATGTGAACAGAGTAAAAAGTGTCGTTGGCAAACCAAACAAATAAAAAGAGTATCAGTTGCCGTGTCATTCAGCTCTGAAGACCTAAAACTGAGTCAAGTCTATTGGCTGCCATATACTCTATCATCCATGCTTTTTGCCATTTCTCAGCAAAGAAGACAGAGAGAGATTCGGGAGATTAATCAGAGTCCCACGGGTGCTGCAGCTTCAAGTCTATTGAAAGGGGGGTAGAGAGAGCGTATGAACTGCACCCTGAAAAAAACTACGGTGGTTTCTGCTTCCTCAAGATCTGGCTCTAGGCCAAATGCTCCGAGAAAGTATGATGTATTTGTAAGTTTTAGAGGCGATACCCGCAACAACATCACCAGCCATCTTCATGCTGCTCTCAAACGAGAATTCATTTTGTCCTTTCGTGACGATAAGCAAATAGAGAAAGGTAATGAAATCACACCATCGCTGATCCAAGCAATCAAGGATTCCAGCGTATCTATAATAGTCTTCTCAAAAGACTATGCTTCCTCAAGATGGTGCCTGGATGAACTCGCCCAAATCATGCAGTGCAGAAAGGATGAGGGCCAGTTTGTTATCCCCATCTTCTACAAAGTTGACCCCTCACATGTTCGAAAGCAGACCGGAGTTTATGAGAAGGCATTTGAACAACATGAGAAAGATTTCATGAATAACCCAGAAAGGGTGAATAGATGGAAAGCAGCTCTTTCTGAAGCTGGCTATTTAAGCGGCAGGCACTACCATGACTTCACGTAAGTATGTCCCTATCAAAGTCATCCAACCAAATTGTAAGGATTCCCTGGGTATCCCACCCAAAGTCGCAGCTTGCTGTGTAAAATAGATGGTTTACTCAGTTTATTTCTTTTTTTTTTTTGCTTTGTTTAACAGGGATGAATCCAATTTAATTCAAGAAATTATCACTGATATTAGCACGAAACTAGAACAAATACATAATCGTGGACAAACATTAAAAGATGTGGTTGGAATGGATGAAATGATCGAACCCATTGAAGAGTTACTAGGAAAATTTCAAAGAGTTGGAATTTGGGGGATGGGCGGTGTAGGGAAGACCACAATGGCAAATGCTGTATTTGCCAAATTATCTTCTCGGTATGACAATTGCTGCTTCTTGGAAAATATTAGGGGAAAAACAGAAAAACTTGGATTGGAAAGTGTTTGTAGCTCTCTTGTCTCGGAGCTGCTAGGGCAAGATATGCCAAGTAACACGTCAAATGTTTTAAGAAATGCCTTTGTTGCCAGAAGGCTCGGTAGGCAAAAAGCTATGGTTGTGCTTGATGATATTGATAGTTTTGACCAATTTGAGGGTTTGCAGGAAAACATATGTAATTTCTTAGGAGAAGGCAGTAAAGTTATTATAACAACAAGAAATAGGAAATTGCTTCAGGGAAAAGGTTATGAAATACTTGAGGCCAAGGGATTGAGTTATCACAATTCGCGTCAACTTTTCATCCGCAAGGCCTTTGGATCAGACTATCCAGAACACGGATATGAACAGCTCATAGAAGGGTTTGTAGAATATACTCGGCACAATCCCTTGGCTTTAACAGTTCTGGGTTCATATGTTCACTCTGAAGATAAAAGGTTATGGGATGGTGTGTTGACAAAACTACGAGCAAGGAGTCCAAATGACGAAATTCAAAAGGTGTTGAGATTGAGTTATGATGGATTAGCCTATGAAGAGAAGCAAACTTTCCTAGACATTGCATGTTTCTTAAAGGGTGAAAATGAAGCATTTGTAGAAGAGCTATTAAAGAGCTATGAATTCCATCCAACTGTTGGCATGCAAAACCTTAAAGATAAGGCTCTGATTGTCACAACCAATGGAAAAGTTGAGATGCATGACTTAATACAGGAAATGGGCTTACAAATTGTTCGTGAAGAGAATATCAGTGAACCTGGAAAAAGGAGTAGATTATGGGATCCTAGCGAAATCTATGATGTATTGAAAAATTGTGAGGTAAGAATATGATGACCTTCTTCTCTCTCATTCTAAGAAAACGTTATTGGTTACCAATGCCAGAAAATGTTCTTTATTTTTCTTGCTGTTTATAAAGTCTAAACTTTGTAATTTTCAGGGAGAAAAGAGGTTGAAGGCATAATATTCAATACAGATGAGATTAATAGACCTTTAGATTTGACTGCTGAGACTTTTAATAAAATGACAAGAATAAGATTTCTTAAAGTTTACTCATCATTAACTCAGATTATGTCAGATGAATTGGGTATTGCAGCAGGTCTTGAGTCAATTTCTACCAAAATAAGGTACTTCCACTGGGCAGGATACCCAGGAAAGTCCTTGCCATCAAATTTTTGTGCTGAGCTTCTTCTTGAACTTAACTTGGAATGGAGCCGGGTTGAAACACTTGGGAAGGAGTGCAGGTATTATATATCATTTTCAGTTTTAAATATTAATTAATATATGAGATCTTTGATTTCCGATGTAATGCCTTTATTTATTTGTGTTTTTAATATTTCCTAATGGTTTCCAGGATTTAGCTAATTTAAGAAGAGTAAAACTTGAATGTTGTTTTGCGCTGAGGGAGTTACCCGATTTTTCCAAGGCTCGTAGTCTTGAAACCATAGATCTGAGTGGTTGTGCACGTTTGTGTCATGTGCATGCATCTCTCCTATCCCTGCATAGTCTCATTTCTTTGGATGTCAGCGGCTGCCATAGCCTTGAGAGTCTCCAAAGTAGAATTCATCTAAAATCTCTCAAAGAAGTCAATATAACTGGGTGCTATCGTCTTAAGGAGTTCTCGGTGTCATCAGAAGAACTAACATCTTTAGATTTAGATGGAAATGATATAGAAGAATTGAGCCCATCAATTGGGCGTTGTTCAAAGCTTAGAAGACTCAACCTCTGTGATACAAAATTGAAGAATCTAAAGGTATTAAGTTGCTTGACATATCTGGAGGAACTCCGTGTTTCCAGCCAGAAGATTGACAGTGTCGACCTACATGTGCTATTTGATAGCTTATGCAGCCTCCAATCACTGACTCTCGAGATGTGCTGTGACTTAACTGAACTCCCAGATAATATCAGGCAACTCTCGAGTCTGGAAGAGCTTTATTTGGGAGGTTGCAGGAATCTTCAATATTTACCAGAGCTTCCCCCCTCCCTTAGATTATTAGATGCCACTGATTGCACAGCACTCTCGTTCAACCTCTCCTTCGTTCATCACCTTAGAAATCTCAATCGTCTCCTGCTCCATACTTTAAGTCCTTGGTATCCTCCACAGACCATGCTTTGTCGTTTTAAACTCATGTGCCTTGGTATTCAAAAGATGGCAGTTCTATTTGATGCATTGCCATCTTTAGAAGTGTTGTCTTTGAAGGACTGGCGCGACCTAACTGAACTCCCCCACAATATCACACATCTTTCTGAGCTACGCTATCTATCTGTAGAAGGTTGCACCATGCTTCGGAGTCTACCGGAACTTCCTCCATCCCTTAGAAAGTTGATTGCCACAGACTGCACATCACTGAAGACGGTGTCTGCTTCAACAATTTCAAGCACATCTGAGAATTATGGTGAGAAAATCTTTTCATTCATCAACTGTGTGAACTTAGATCTGGGCGCCATTGAAGAACAAGCCAATTTGTTGTTAGAGAAAGCAGTTCATGAGAAGAATGATGTTACGGTTTGTTACCCAGGGAAGAAGGTTCCGAAGTGGTTTGGGAATCATAGATCCCAAAATGATTCGAGCATCATCGAACTACCTCCAGCTTCTTACAATTTAGCGGGTTTTGTTTTTTGCGCCGTTGTTCCTGACTCCTTCCCACGGGAAGAGCATATGGCCCCTGAAATTTCCTTCGGCTTTACATTGGATGAAATGACTCGCGAAATTGCATTTTCATCGCTCATAAAATTCAGTCCTGGAAATGTTCTCCTACGTTCTAATCCAAAACTATCTGAATTGATAGTCAGGAAGATTGAAGAGAAAGAAGAAACCATGAAACCACCTCTTATGACCAAAATCTTTTGTTCAAATTCGATTTTGGAATTGGTAGTGATATTCTCATCAAAGAGTGTGGAGTCTATCCCATATATGCCTCAGAATATTACAATGTTGATCAACAGGGGAAATCGGCGGCGTTCATTTTGAATTCCCGAAAACGCAAGGCCATAATGATTGAATAGGTATTATCTCCTCCTTTAAGTAGCAAATTAAGAGCATGTATTCATGCTTGACCATAATACTCTCCCAGCTGTGTTGACAATGATTACATGCTAAAGATTGTCAACTATATAGGTTCCAGCAAAAAAAAAAAAAACAAGAAGAAGAAGATTATTTGATGCCCTTTTTTGTAATAATTATTGCACTAATGGTTGAATTTTGAGATTTTGATTTTTTTTCATCAGTTCAGTAATCCATTCCAGGGAAATGATAATCTCATATAAACAACATATCAATGAAAGATTTCTCAAACAAATAAAATAAGTTGCTTTTAACTAATGGGCATGTTGGTGTTTGTAGATATAAACAGAGTAATGAAAAACAGGGGATGAGCTATTGCTCCTCCAAATTGAGTTTTAGATGAAAGTTGTTGTATTAATGATGGTTCTGATCGGCATATTGATGTTTGTAGATGACACATAGGTGAGAACACAGTGACAGTAGTTGAGAATAAACAGAGTATGAATGTAACGTGCCATAACTTGCACAAGCCAATTTGCCACATTATGGTAATTGTGGTAATTATATTCTTGCAGATGATCAATTAATGTTGGCGTGGCTATCGCATTATTAGTCTGTGCAATCGGTTCTCAAACCTTATGCATTTCAGTTTGGCAAAATAGTCTCTTACATATTCCAGTTTGTTACGGTACATGTAGCATCGAAATACACACTTCAAGAACAAAAATGGAGTTTTCAAACATGCAATACATAGCATTTGTATATTTAAGATATGTGAATTAATAGTTGTTTTTTTCAATAAAATTATGTCTTGTTTTCAGGATTGCTGATAATTAAAAGAAAACTTTAATTTTCTATTTAGAGTAAACCCAAAATTGTTCCAAGGTGTTTCCATTCCTACAAGTTCCTATATGTCCTTGTATAGTGGATGTATCGCCTGATTTAATATAACATGAAGGCTAGATTTGGATGGAAGAAAAAATAAGAGAAAAATAATGAGAGAGAAGAAAAAATAATGGGAGAAAATATTGTGAAGGAAAATTTTCTGCAAAAGATTTATTATTTTTTAAAGTTTTATTTTTGAGTATTCTTTTCTCTCTATATTTTTCCACATCCAAACAACAAGGGAATTTTCAATCCTTTATGCACAACTTCTCGGTTGAGGATATGGACGAGTTCAATATGGAGGCCAATGCGTGCAATTCCACCGTAAGTCTTGAGTTCTAAATAATACTAACTCTTACTCTTAATATAAGATATGTGTGTGTGTATATAACTAATTTGTGAAACTACGAACTCTCTTAATATATGTGAACAAAAAAATAATTTGGGCAAAAAATTATAAATTTGCAAGGAAGTAACAGAGTAATTATTATTCCTAAAAAAAAAAAAACCGAGTATTATTATTCCTCAAACCCTAGGTGAGAGGAAGTTGCGGTAAATAGCAAAGCAATGGGTATATGAAAACATCAACATCATCTTTCTGCGTAGGCCACACCTTTTGTTGGACCTTAGTTAAGCAGAAGCTTTCACATGCAAATGTAATTCTCCCAATGACTTGACTTCATAATTACTGCGCCCAAAAAAGAAAAAAACATACTCCCTCCAATTTTAAATATAGGAGTTATGTAACTAATTTATGGAGTAAGTTTATTATTTAAAAAAAAATATTGTTTGATTTACCTAAATACTCCTTTAATAATTGTATTGAAAACTACCACATTAATATAAATTCCCATCAATGTGTACTATAGCAATAATAGTGTAACAAGAAAATTATAAATTTGAAAGATAAATAAAGATTGAATTCATATATTTAGAATTAAAATACTCCTTCAATTCAAATTAGATCTAGAGGGCGTCTAATAAATCAGGAGTTCTTGATATTTATTAATTACCCATTTTAGGTTAAATTGAACTAAGTATAGGCAGAACAAACAAAAAATCTTTTTTTTGTTATGGGAAATTATTTGAGGAAAATGA